AGATAAGAGTTATGTGTCACTAGATTTTAGGCCAAAGATAAATATAAGACCCCAAAAGTTGAACGAAGTACATATAATAGAATATGCTAGCGGACAGAAAGTTAAGGTCAGAGATGTGATCAAGGACTGCACACTAAATTTGGAAGGAACGAATTTTAGTATAGACCTAATCCCAATCAAAATAGGAAGTTTTTATTTAATCGTAGGTATGGATTGGTTGTCCGAAAACCGAGCCAAAATTTGTTGGGCTGAAAAGAAGATTCGTATACCACTATCAGAAGGAAGAATACACGAAGTACATGGAGAGAAACCGAGGAAGGATCTTAAAATAGTGACATGTATGAAGATGCGATATTACATGCGGAAAAATTGCGTTGCATTTTTGGCACATGTTGTGGATAGAGAGATCAAGGAGAAGTGTATTCAGGATCTTCCGATAGTGCGAGATTTTCCTGAAGTATTTCCAGATGAATTACCTGGATTACCCCCACAAAGACAAGTAGAGTTTCATATTGAATTAGTTCCTGGAGCTGCACCCGTGGCAAAGTCGCCTTACCGATTAGCACCATCGGATATGCAGGAATTATCAGAACAACTACAGGAGCTGCTTGATAAAGGATTCATCAGGCCTAGTTCTTCACTCTGGGGAGCTCCGGTTCTATTTGTCAAAAAGAAGGATGAATCTTTCCGGATGTGTATTGATTACAGAGGACTCAACAAGCTGACCATCAAAAACCGTTACCCTCTTCCTCGAATCGACGACTTGTTTGACCAACTACAAGGTGCTACGTACTTCTCAAAGATCGATCTTCGTTCAGGATATCACCAGATGAGAGTTCGCAAAGAAGACATTGCAAAGACGGCGTTTAGGACTCGATATGGTCATTACGAGTTTCTAGTTATGCCTTTTGGATTAACAAACGCTCCGGCAGTTTTCATGGATTTGATGAATAGAGTCTTCCGAACGTACCTAGATAAGTTTGTGATTGTGTTTATAGACGATATATTGATTTACTCACGAAATAAGAAAGATCATGAGCAACATTTAAGGTTGATCCTAGAATTGCTCAAGAAGGAAAAGTTGTACGCCAAACTTTCCAAATGCGAATTTTGGATTTGTGAAGTGCATTTTCTGGGCCATGTAGTCAATGAGAAGGGATCCATGTTGATCCAGCCAAAGTCGGGGCTATCAAGAAGTGGGAAGCCCCAAAGACACCAACGGAGATTCGTCAATTTCTTGGTTTGGCAGGATATTATAGGCGATTCATTGCAAATTTCTCCAAGACCGCACAACCACTGACGACCCTAACACAGAAAGATAAGAAATTTATTTGGGGCGAGAAGCAGGAAGAAACATTTCAGATACTTAAGCACAAATTGTGTAATGCACCAATTCTAGCATTACCAGAGGGAACGGATAACTTTGTGGTATACTGCGACGCCTCACATCAAGGACTGGGGTGCGTATTGATGCAAAAGGACAAAGTTATTGCATATGCGTCCAGGAAACTAAAAGTCCATGAAAAGAATTACACCACCCATGACCTGGAACTTGGAGCAGTGGTATTCGCACTCAAAATCTGGAGACACTACCTCTATGGCACAAGATGCACTATCTTCACCGACCACAAGAGCCTTCAACACATTCTCGATCAGAAAAT